TACCTACCTACCTACCTACCTACCTACCTACCTACAATATAAAATAACTTTTTTTTCATACATCCAAATATTGTTTGAAGTTTCCTCTTTAAAATTACATCAAAATTTTTCTAATTAGAATAACCTAAAAATGGAATGTGGACCAAACATCAGTGGATTATGATTAGGAAGACAAATCAAGGCCTGTCTGTGGAACCCCTTATGATGTCAGGTATCAAAATGTAGCCTTAAAGCCAGGAATCTGAAAATTAGATGAGGTCTTTTTGACCAACTTTGACGTAATTTTTCTGTTTGATGTAATGGGTCACACATTTTATATAACAGCTTTACAGGTATTTTTAAAATATCTTTTTATATACTATAAAACACACACACACACACACACACAGGCACACGTGTCTCCTGTGCATCAGTGACACGTAGTCCAACATCCTTGTTCCTCTAACGGAGCAGGAGCACCTGGCTGATTCCCACACAGCCTCCAATATAAACCTCAAAAACCACATGTGTGCCATGTGGTGACAATCAGAGACGGAGGTGACACAAGAGTTTGTGCACAGCTTATTCTTTCCTCTTTTGGCTTTTTTAATTTACTTCCCACTTTGTGAGCTGACAGCATGCTGCTCACTCTGTTTTTGGCCTTCCTGGTGTCTTCTGTTTTTGCCACAGAAAAAGGTAAATTGTTTTATGTTTTATGTAATAGTTTTTTTAAAGTGTTTTATTTCTGCCACCGCTGTCTGTATCACGTTTCTCTGAATTTTGGAATGAGTTTTCAATCATGGACGTTTTCTACAGGCGTTCCCATAGAGCAATATAGATATCTGAAAATAAACCTTAATAATTTTGTGATGCTTTACTTTTATAATGTTATCATGGTTACATATTGTATAACTTTTTTATTGGTCACAGCAATGATTTGAACTCAAATACTGTGTTGGCTTTGAGTGGTGACTTTGTTTAATTTTATCCACAAGAGCCTTATTTTTTTTTTCAGTTATTTAAACGTTTGATTTATCATTAACACCAGTAGAACTTATCGCTGATAAACTACAGTTTGATACGCATTAGAAAAAAGTAGCTACTTCCAACATATCAGGAACAAACATATTTATACTGATGAGGAGAAATAGTGGAAAGAAGAAAACAGATAAAAACTCCTGTAAAGGCTCAGATGAAAGTCAAACTTTGATCCGTCTTGTTATAACAGCAGTAATAAACTCATGACTGTTTTACTCTCACTTTAAAGTTAATAAAACAGCAGTTAGTAGATTTTTTTAACTAGGATTTTACAAAGTGAACCAAATAATGAAAACGTTATTTTTGCCCCCATACTTTTGAGTTGTCAAATATGATTTTGTAGCATTAAACAAAGACTCATGGTTACTACCTGATGAACCTTTTACTCTTGTTACCTTACCTGGTAAATACATGGTAAGTATCAGAAATGTACCTGATTTATACTAGATATGAACCAGGTATGTTGCTGGTAAGTATGAGATCCCTAACTCATAGGTACCTGGTAAGTACCTGGCATGTCTTGGGTAAATACCATGTACCTGACTTGCAATTATCAGTTACATGCTCTGAGTACAGGGTAACAAATCGCTTCACAATTAAACCTGGTCCCCGCAAGTACCCTTCAAGCACTCCCTATAGGTACACAGTAGTTACAAAGTACAGAGCTACTGAGTAAATTATTGAACTTTTCACCTGGATACTGGATTTCTGCACCTAAATTTGTGTGAAAATGCAAATTCAGTACAAAGGTATGTGTTACAAATCATTATCAGAATGTTAATCTACTGATGTTAGCATCCTGGCCTTCCTTTACACAGCTTTACTTTTCTCCAATATGGCTGCTGAGGCGGAACAATGCTATACAGTCTGAGCCGTTGTATACTTTCCCGTGTTTTTCTCCTCAGACACTGATCTTCTCAGGCTTAATGACAAAAATGCCGTTGAGGCCTTCATCGACTCAGCCGAAGTGGTGGTCATCGGATTCCTGGAGGTCAGACAAGTAAATTGCATGTTTAAAAAGTGTCTCAAATAAACTGTTTTACAGCTTGTGCCAGCATCGTGAACGTCAAAACTCATATTGAAGGTCTCCAAATGCGTTCAGCTCCACATAGACCTTCGTGATGTTTCTGTCAGAAATAGACGTGGAAGAATGGTATATTTCCTGCCGCCACGCCTTTGGCAGTGCCTCTGTTGTTGGGACAGCCAGCATCCTGCTGTCCAGACTTCTCTGGCCGGACTCTGCACTCCAGGAGAAGATGGCAGGCTTGACCGGAAATACATACGAGTCTGAAGACTGTGGGATCGGCTCCACTGACCTTTACACAAACAGTCCGATGCAGAGAAGAGTTTAGAGAGAGAGAGAGAGAGAGAGAGAGAGAGAGAGAGAGAGAGAGAGAGA